TCAACAGCCACTGTGAGCCCCATGCTGTAGCAAAAGTGAGATCCTTTTCAAGCTCAAATGTCCCCTCCAAGCAATCGGAGAGTGTTGGCTTATAAATGATAGTATCATCAGCAAACAATTGGATGTGAGAATATCTGGAGATCGTTAATGTAAATTAAAAAGAGTATAGGGCCAAGGATAGAACCTTGAGGAACCCCTGAAGTTACAGAGTATGAAGTGCTTTCCAATGAAGACAACTTTTATACAACAATTGGAAAGAAAGGATTTAATAATCTTAAAGATGTTACCTGATACATTGTAAGAAGAAAGCTTATAGGGAAGACCAGCATGCCAAACTTGATCAAAAGCTTTACAAATGTCAAGAGCGATAGCCTTAACCTCTCCACCTAAATCTAATGTACGATAAAACTTATTGGTCATTACTGTTAACAAATCAGCAGTAGAATGAGAAGATCGAAATCCATATCGATGATCAGAAAGTAAGTTATTAGATTCAATATGAGAGGTTAAGTGTTTGTTAATTAAAGATTTAATACCAATTAAAGATTCATACCTGCACATACTTGAGAGTATTCATGTTATTGTAAAATTCATGAACTTAATTTTTTACTTTCTTACTAATAGATCTTCTTTCTTTTTTAGATGTTTCTATCATTATGCAATGCCTTTGTTTCAAATACCTTGCAGCTTTTATCATTCTTAGGGAAGCAGTATAATTAATGTTTTAACTCTTAGTAGTTTAAAGTCTGCAAAAAACGATTATATACCTGCTATAAAATAAAACAAGACAAAAAAAAGAGATATATCCATATATTTATATTAAGAGAGTAATATCATTAATGAACTTTGTTATTGTGGGTTGTGATAATTCTTTTAAATTAATTTTTTTTTTTTTAAGTTACTTTGATTTTTTCTCAGAGCTTCTGATTTTAAGTTTTTCTAATTTTAAACATCAAGCTTAGCTTAAATTAATTTCATTATAGATCCAAGTCTTGTTTACTTTTGCAACACAACTCTTTTGTTTTTGGTTCATCCTTTATTAAATCTGGAATAACTTTCAAAACGGTTACCTTTTTCTTTTTAGTAGCAGTATGGATTTTATTCATCTTTCTTTTTGCTTAGCTGACCCTGTCTTTATGAGTTACTAGTTTTAGAGGTGAGCAACCAAAGCTATTAATGCTTGAATTAAAGTGTAAAATGTGAGTCTCATTAAAATCATTATCTTTATGTTGACAAATCGCTTCCATAATCTTTTTTGGTTATTTTTTAAATACAACATTTTTTGACATTCTGTTAAAAGTTTATGATCAGGTATTAAATAAAACTCCTTCACAACACCAATACTGATTCAAAAAAGTAACAAATATATATAAAAAAATATAAAAATAAATATATAAAAAAATTTTAAAGAAATAATTAAGTCAATTAATTTTTTAAAAGATAATAGCCGGTCTTCTCTACTTGAAATTTACCGCCAACACACAAAAAAGCGCAGGTAGTAATTTTTTGTCTGGCATGCCCGATTTTAATAAATATTTGTTTTTTGTAGCTCTTCAATTAGAATTTGATTAAGAAAAAAGATTTATTGTAATTTAAAAAACGCGCTTGAAAATTTTTTAGCGAGTGCTTAAAAAAGTGCCAGCCATAGTATTGGCGGGCGCGTAGGCGAGAGCAAAACTGAAAGAACACAAAAGCGCTTGTCGAACGGAGAAGACTGAATAGCTTATTAAATTAAGTTAAATGGATCACAACAAAAGCTTCCATCATATGAAGTCTCAAGTCTGTTCTAGTAGACATTTTCATGGTGATATTAAATAGTTTGAATATTATTTACTTTACATCTTAAGTGCACAAGATCTTGATCTTTTTCTGTTAATTCCTCATAATGTTTAATTTTCTTGATTTTGGTAAATTTTACTTCATGACAATTAGGGCTGTAAATCCTGGCTTGTGTTCGTGAACGGCTCGGCAATTGGCTTGACAAGAGCTCATTCATGTTGGGCTCAAATGGTAATTTAGCCTGGGTTTGAACAAAGAATTAGGCTCAGGCCTTCTTGTAAGAGGCGTGCGATTGCACGCCTTATATGACCATGCATAAAGTTCTTTGTTTTAACAACTTGACCACGGCTCTTTGCAAGTTTTGATAGTTTGCGCGTTTAAAAAATGCGCTAAAAAATAACAAAGCAAATTAAAATAAACAATCCATGAACTGAAAAGAGAATAAAATCCTTAAAATAATATTTAATACAAAAATTAATCTAAAAAGCTGAAATATTCAAAGAATGAAAAAATAAATAAAAACCAGAAAAAAAATCAAAACATTTATTAATTAATGTAAACTTAATTGTAAACAAAAGTAAAAAAAAAATAATCACAGCTTTAATAACCTTTAACGAAACATGAACCTTGACGAACAAGGCCGCTGTGCGGAGAGACGAGTTGAGCGTGGTACTACCAGGGACGCAGTGGGGGTCGAACTCGAAACCTCTCGCTTATGAAGCGAGTGTTTTACCACTACACCACTACCGCATGTGCCATGAAGTTTAATAAAATTTTGCAAGTTTAAAATTTTATTAAAAAATTTATAGGATACAGGGTGCGACAAGTCGACAAAAGTGCGCGCATTTCTTAAAAGACAGACAGAAAAACAAACATCACGTTTCTTTAGTTTTGCTTATGCTAATGTTGCTGTTTGATTAGGATTTTTCAAAACAAACCTATCACTTCAGCAATTTTTTTCAAAATAATTTTGCAATCATTAGCTTTTTATTTATTATAAAAAACACATATTTCATATGAATAACAATTAATTTCACAGACTTAAATTAATGCCAAAACTTTATTCAATAGTGTCACTTTTAAGTAAAATAACTAAATACGCTATAGAAAAAAGTAATTATGTTTTAGCATGGTTTTTGCATGCGCTCACAAATACATAGATAATTTTACTTACAATGAATGCTTTTGCAAAAATTCAAAAGAAACCATGCTCAAACATTTCGATTACTTTCTTTTATTGATCATAACGTTTAACGATGGTTTCTTTTATGTTTTTAGCAATTACATTAAAACTTTAAAGCAAATGTATTCGTTATAAATAAAATTTAGCGCGCTTTTTAAAAATTTTTCTTATTTTCCATACAGTGTTTGATTGCTTATTAATACTTTTACACTTTTAAAAGTTTTTTTATTGTGCATTTATCATTATTTTGCGCACACTTTGCAAATGTGTAAAAAAAAGGTTTTTGAAAAATAAAAATTGAATAAATTTACCAAGCATCTTTGATATATTTTATAACTTATTAACTAGAATAAAAAATATTTGAATTTTATTTGACATAAATCTCTTAAATTAGACGTTCGTCAATAAATAAAGATACGCAAGTCAACGTTCATTAAAAAAAAAAAATGATATGTCACGCCCTGGGATAAAAAATTGTTGGCAGATGCGATTGTTTCAAGATTATTGTAATTTCTTTTTTTTTTTGTAAATAATTTCTTAATTAAAAATTATATTTTCACGATTGTATGGTTTTTAATTAGCTTCTGTACTCATTTTGTCTTAAACTCTAATCTAATAATTTTTTCAATGATTGCCTTTAATTAAGTTGCGTTAAAGTACTCAGGGAATTTTGTGGGAGTTTAATTGTAGTTATGGAATCAATTAAATTAAAAATCGCATTTGTTTGTTTTTTTAGCGCATTTTTTAAGCGCGCTAATTATCAAAACTTGCAAAGAGCCGTGGTCAAGTTGTTAAAACAAAGAACTATATGACTATATACATAAATAATTGATTTAAATGTGTATGTTGAATTCTTTGTCGAATCGAAAATACAATGTCAAAGTTTAACTAAAGTAAGTCTAGAGTTCTATAGTAGTTTAGAGTTTACTATAGTAAAGAAACTAGATTGTTTTTTAAAATTTCGTTTTTAAATATAGAGCTTCAAAGTATGAACAAAACATGTTTTTCGCTACTAGAGTTTTTATTTTTGGAAAAATTAGAAATTTTAAATTCAGATTTTATGCTGAAACTTTTATATTTAATAAAAGGCTAGTACAAAATTTGGCCAAAAGAATGTTTTTGTAAAAGCATACCTTTTAATTTAACCATACCTATAAGCAAATAAATAATATATATTTTTGATGATATATTTTTTTTATTTTTACCATGCTTAAATATAATCAATCCTCTGAATTAGGAAAACTGAGTTAGGCAATATTTTGCCAACCTTTATCTGTTAGAGCTCGGCATCAAGTTGGCAAAAACAATTTGATACAAAGGTTTTACTGCAAAATATAGAAATGAGATCAGCATTTTTTTGTCTTCCTCAAACACTTTTAAATCAGCAGTTAGGTCGCCATTGCCAAATGCTGACCTTAATTCCGAGGGCTGTATAATATAATGTTAATATAATATTGAATTTTTTAACAACTTCCTTTTTTTTATGGTTAAACCATTTGTTTTAAAATATTTGTTCAGCTCACACTTAATTATGCAAGTCCCACTTAGTTAATCAAGACCCATTTAGTTATGCAAGTCTTGCTTAATTATTTAAATCCCACTTAGTTATTAGTTTGATAAGAAAAGAACAATTTCAATAGTTGTATATGTTTTTAAACAATTTGTCAATAACTTATCTCTTAACTTATAAATGTTAAGGAATGAATATTATATATTTTAATAAGAAATCCATTAAAAGCATTATAGTACTTCATTATTGAAAACCTATTTTGGTTCTTAGTGGTAGTACCATGCTCAAATAGTTTCTCTGTCCAACCAACTTGTTTGTTGCTGTTTGTAAAGAGTAGCTTCTTTGACTGTCCCTATTAGCTTTGGGGTTGGGGTAAAGTAAGTTTAAGAAGGAAACAAAATAAAAAATATGTATTGTTACATATCTATTATTGTTACCACATACACATGTATTGTTACATGTTGCATATTAAATATATTGTTACATATTGTGTAAAATTTAAAATAAAGTTTTGAAATTTATTTTTAGACTGGGCGTTCTCCACCTAACATAATCCGCAATCAAAAATATTCTTTTTTTAGCTTTGTTCCATTAGTAAGATTTTTTGTTTGTTTTATTTTTAAAAAATATTTATAAAATTACACTTTTATTTTTTTTTTAACTTAAAACTGTTGTTTTTTTTAATTAGGTTTTGTTTCATCAGTTCAAGATATTCCTGAATCTTTATTTCCTTTGTGTTGCAATTACTCAATTTATACCATCACTTCGCGTTGGACCTTTATATGCTTATTGGGCACCACTTGTATAGTGATTTTAAATAATTTTAAAACCAGGGGAAAATTAACATTTTTTGAATTACCAAAAATGTGTTTAATATCAGTTATATCATAGTATATCATAATAAATGATTTAATCATATTTTTGGTTTTCAATTTGCAAAGCTTTTAATTTTAAAAACTTAAAAATTTAAGCTAGTCTTTTAATAAGTACAAATTAATCAAATGTTAATTCTCCTTAATATTATTATTTTTTTAATTTACTTTCTTAATTATAATTTTAAGGTTTTTTAAATATTTATTATATAAAGTATTAATATTTTTTATATTTAATAATATATAATAATATATAATATATATAATAATATATAAATTCCATTTGATCTAGTTTACAAAAGCTTTTAGAATAATATTGAAGGCATTTTTTATAAAACTATTAACTTGTTTGTTGTTGAAATTTATCTTGGTATCTTGGATCTAAAAATGTTGCAATTAAAAGAATTTTTGTATTTTTATAAATCTTTCATTTATTTTTATTTACATTTAAATTTGTTACTAATCTTGAAAATGAAGCTTGAATGAGATTTCTATAACTTCTATAGTTAGAAATTCAATTACTTGAAGCTTGACAACACGAAATTTGTTTGACATTTCTCAATTTGCTTGACATTAATTAATTAGTATAGAACATCATTGAACATTAAAAAAATTTCATTCATTAAATGGTTTTAATTTGAAGATATCATTATCATAGGAAATTTGAACCTATTCTATTCAAAAACTGTCTATTCAAAAAAATATTCTATTCAAAAACTATCAAAAAACATAACTTTTAGTGTGCTGAATACAATTATTAGAACTTAATGTAACAATTTCAAAAGTATTAGTTACCATCATTTCTGCATTTGTGAATTTAATTTAATTTTTTGTTTATTAATGTTCCAGTGAATTTTCTCTTCAAGTGCTGTAATCAAAGTAATTTGTGACTGTTGTCTTTTTTTGACATTTAAAATGAAATAAAATATTTACCAAAAATGAAAATAATAAAAATAAATTAATACCCAATTAATGAAAAATTAATTCTATAAAAAATCATATAAAATCAGATCAATACAAATAGAATAATGTTGTCATCACTATCATTATCATCATCATCATCATCATCATCATCATCATCATCATCATCATCATCATCATCATCATCATCATCATCATCATCATCATCGTCCTCATCATTATTTTTCTGTTTGCACAAGTTGGAGTTAGATTTCTCCAATGTCATTGTCTTGCCAATATTGAATATAAGATAACTAGTTAATTGTGTTAGTGTCATTTTATTGGTGGATCAATATTTAATTAATTTATTAAATTAATCACTATATGATTTAATAAAACAAGAAGTTTAACATGCTTAAATTTCTTTATTTGTTAAGGGTTTTGTTCTATGTGTTACATTACTTAAAGAAGGATATGATGACATTAAACGATATTTAAGAGATAAAGAAGCAAACTCCCAGCAATTTAAAAAAATCACTCGAACTGGTAAATATCATCTATTTACATTTTTTTAATTTTATTTGATTAGCATCAGTTTATAAGGTTTTAACTATAGAAAATTTTGTATTTTTTGGTAAAATCTTATATATAATTTAATTGTTGCACTTTTTCTTAATAATCTTTCTCTTGGTTGTGACAATTGAATTTTTTTTATATAAACCACAAAGTTTTTAAACATTTAGGTTACAGATGTTGTTTATGCAGGGAATACTTTTTAGGTTGAAAGATGGTGCTAGCTTCAAATACAAAATACACTGCTTTAAGTGTTCTTATTATAGTGTTAGTTATGTACAAAGAATTTTTCAGGAGGAGCCTGAAACAAACTGCTTCTAATAAAATCTTAAATTGCTAAAAAAAAAACATTTTTGATTTTTACTAGTTCTTAAATCTTTAGTGTTGTTTTATGTACTCAAAAAATAATATTTAAAAAGTTGTAAAACTGTAAAATTTTGATTTTAAAAAATGTTTAGTAGGCTGAATCGACACCAATTGTCTATCAAAAAGTTTAACAAAGTCCCACTTTAGATGTTTTTGGTTAGGCAAAATCAAATAAAAAGTTTCTCAATTTTGAATTTTTCATTAACACACTGAATGCAGATTTTTCGCAGACATACTGCTGAATGAGTGTTTTTTTGTGGACATATGTGCTGTTTTATCAGCCATCAAACTGTATAATTATGACTCCCATATACTTTTTTATAGCTTATGAAGCCTTGAATGAGGAAAGTATTATAGGATTTCGTTTTCAATTTCAGGTGAGAGACATTTTTGTCTTAAGGGACCATTCAACTATTTCTTTATTTCCACATAATTGTTTGCTTGTAATTTTAGTGACATGCAAAGTTTTGAATTATTTTCACCCTTTCCATGAATGGCAAGGCCTTGTGTTTGCTATTATATTAAGAAGAAAAATTTAGTAATCCAGTAAACTAATTAATCCAGTAAATTAATTAGTATGATTGATAGTTAATCTCAATTTTTCTTAAACGAAATGCAGGAGTTACTAAATAAAGAAGAGTTGTTATTATTTTAAATAATGCTATACGTTTATTCATCGTTTCTTAGAAAATCCATTCAAGTTCAGAACTTTGTGAAGATGAAGAAACTGTAAATGATACACAATTGAAATGCAGTTGCAGGAGATTTTTATTGACCCATTGTGTGCAGAAGAAATACCTATTATTATTTATAAATTGAATCATGATTTACCACGGCAAAAGAAAATCTAAAGCAGAAGATACAGCTGTTTTAAGACACCTGTGGTAAACCAGTAATGATATCTGACATTTTTTTTTGTGATAATGTTGATCACTTTAAGGAAAGAGCAACAGAGAATGTTTTAAATGTGACATGTTCTGCAAACCTTAAATTTTGTTCTGACATTCATTAGTGTAGGACAAACCTTTCAGAAAGATTTTTTGTACTAACAATTGTTGGTGATCTGTCATTTTCAAGTTTAGTTATCTTGTTAACTTGTTACTTGGTTGACTTTTTATTAACCTTATCAGGTTTATTATATAATTTTATTGATAATTTTTTAAAGTTTAATATTATGGAAGGTTGCAAATGGCCAATGATTGAACATAAAGTAAAATAAAGTTGTAAATTTAAATTAGTTTTGTACTAATTAATAAATTTTTTATAGTTTTGAAATTAATTAAAGTGTTAATATTTAAGATGTCTCATTAGTTGTAAAGATCTATATAATCAATTAGATACAACTTTATTAGAAATAAGAAGGGGTTTGTCAATTTTCTTAAGGAATACTTAACCTACCTCCATTGGTTGGTTAGGATACAGCTAGTGATGTCCAATATACAATATCCAATAAAAAATGATGCGTTCACCTCCTAATTTGGATCATATAATTAATACTGTCATTTAATAAAAGTTATAAATTTTTTAAAATTCAGTTTCAAAAATATAGTTATCAATATTGCATGTTGCAAAAATTGATATTAATACTTGTTTTTCAATAATAGAGGTTAAAGAAAAAATTTCTATATTTAATCTAATCAAAAAAATTCAGAAAAACTTTGAATTAAATTTAAAGTTTTGCTCACTTTTGTATAAGGGATAAATATTTAGTGAATTTTTTAAGTTATTCACTAAATATATATCACCTTTTTTTTCAATTTTTTATAAAAATAACTTCAAATAAGTAAACAACATTACAAATAACAAACAGTAAACAAGTAATATTTAATAGTCTTCAAAATTTTAATATTATGAAAAATACTTTGTTTCTGAGTAACAACACTTTGTTGCTAGGCCTGTAAATCAAGCCGAACGAGCCAAGCTTGCCAGGGCTCGGCTCAGCTCGTTTACATATTAAGAGTGTTCAGGCTCGGCTCAAGCTCATTTTGAACATGAGATTCTTTGTTTGAGCTCGGCTTGTTAAGGATTAGTATTGTTTGGGCTCGGCTCGTTTTACATGTTGCTTGAGCTCAACTGGTTTAAAACTCGAAATAATTATTGTAACCTGTTAGTTTAAAGCTCGTTTAGTAAAAAAAAATTTTTCCTTAAAGGCAACTTTTCTGTTTTGCATAAATTGTACACTCCTAAATCCATTAAAAATGGTCTAAAACATATTGGGCCTGTTGGCAAATGACAATAGTCAATAGCAGCCTCACGTAATTAATTTGTTTATATTAATCAATTATTTAGTGTAATAAGAGTTATATGGGTCATATCTCATATGGTTACACTAACACTATATTTTTATTATATACTAATATATATAATATCACAATTTTATTTATTTTATATTATTATAATATGAATAAATTAATATATATATATATATATATATATATATATATATATATATATATATATATATATATATATATATATATATATATATATATATATATATATATATATATATGTATATATATATATATATATATATATATATATATATATATATATATATATATATATATATATATATATATATATATGTATATATATATATATATATATATATATATGTATATATATATATATGTATATATATATATATATATATATATATATATATATATATATATATATATATATATATGTATATATATATATATATATATATATATATATATATATATATATATATATATATATATATATATATATATATATATATATATATATATATATTTGAGCTTTAATCAAGCCTATATGAACGAGCCTATGATGTTCAAGCTCGGCTCATTTAATAAATGAGCCTAATTTTTTGACTTCTGTGTTTGCATTGTTTAAACAAGGTTGTCTCTATTCTAGTTGTAAAAATTTTTGTTATTTTTTATCCTTTGTATTTAAAAAAGCACATTTAAAACAACATGGAAACTTTTCGTCTATAAAAAGTATCCATATAAAAAGTTCTATATAAGATTATGTTATATAGAAACTGGATTTAGAATTTAGTTTCCATACAGTATAAATAAAATAAGTTTGGTGCATTTATACCAACCCTTAAAGATAAACACTAAAACTATTAATCTGTTTTATTAAGGTAAAACAATTGAATATTGATGTCTTGATTGATTTTTAAATTATCAACGGATCAAGTTGTAGCAATATTGCGATGGCAATTCAAAAGAGTGAGATGGTTTAATCACTCTTGAGACATTGTAGAACACAAATAGGTCTTGAACCTACAAAGGCAAGAAAAAAAGCGTTCTAACGTTCAAGAGGTGATAGACATATATAATAAAACCTTTACCAGCTTCACAAACTTGGGAATCAGTGGAACTAAAGGACACCATAATCTACCAGCACTCTCAAAACTGGTTCAAAATCGTTTACTTAAATATTCTTGAATTTGGCATGATCCACATATTATAATTAGCCATAATCTTCAAAGCCATTTTTGCTAAAAGCCTCAACAAATCCTACATCTAAGCACTGATCAATGATAATTTTTTTGACATTTGACATTAAATGCTCAGTGATCTCTGTTGGTTCCAATTGGATCTCAAATCCCGTTATACCACAATCCAGAGATGCATAGCAAAGCTGGCAGTAGTGATTCTCTAGAGTTGTAGCAAAATATGGAACTCCACTTTCAGTGAATCGTGGTGTAATCTTACGTTTCTGTGGAATCTCTGGTTTTTTCAAATACTCTACATTCTGCCGCTATAACGGCTGCATTCCATAAGACTTATTAAAAATCACTCTGGCCTGTGCTTAACTCCTCCTTTAGCGCGTTAATGGTATTTTTTGCTTTTCAAAAATTGATCTACATGCCTGAAATATTTTTCAATAAAGTTTTTTATTGTAGTTAGCATAAAAAAGTATATTAAAAAAAAAAAACACTTTAAAAAAAAATATATTTGAAAAATTGTAAAATTTTGATTTTAAAAAATGTGTCGAACTTTTAGGAAGATTCCAGTTAACCCACTGCTTGACTTATTTTTGGCTGTATTATCAGAATGATTTTCAGTATCCTCTAACCAGTTGATTAGGATAAAATAGTTACTGGTAATAGATAATGTCTTAGAATTGATCAAGTGGCGCAAAATGGCAGCAGTGATGTTCATTGTTTTACATCCTCTACAATGCTAAATTTGTTGAAACATGCCAAGAGTTTTAGAGATCAAAGGGCAAATGTGATGATTGATTGGACTATATTCATTATATTCTTGATCTCTGTTTGGTTTTCAACACAATCTTGTGCTGCTGAGTTGATATTATGAGCGCAGCAGTGCATGTAAATTGCCCACTCTTCTTTTTCCCTCATTAAAGTCTGTAATCCATGGATACTTCCAGACATGTTAGACGATCTATCAAAACATTGACCCTGACAATTCTGTATTAGTAGGCTAAATCGACACAAAATGTCCATCAAACAGTTTAACAAAGTCCCACCTTTGATGTTTTTGGTTAGGCAAAATCTAAAAAAAAGCTTCTCAATTTTGAATTGTTCACTAACACACTGAATGCAGATATAAAACATGTTCTTTTGCAGACATACTGCTGAATGCAGATAGTGTTTTTTTGTGGACATATCCACTGTTTTATCAGCCATCAAACTGTGTAATTGTGAATCCAATATACTTTTGCATAGCTTACAAAGCGTTAAATGAGGAAAGTCTTATAGGATTTTGTTTTCAATTTTAGGTGAGAGACATTTTTGCCTTTATCCATCTTTATTCGCTTATCCATCATTTTTTTTTTTTTTGTGGTGATTAAGTTGCTGGATAACAGTTGATCCCAATGATGCTGAGGCAATCATACTAATAAATGCTCTATGAAGTTCAGATCGCTTGTAAGAAGCAAAAGTTTGTAAAGCTGTCATCCCATTAGAAAATCAGTTCAAAATAAATATTTTGCACAAGTCATTTTCTCTAGAATGACGAGGTAAAAGCATTATCATATGGGTAATTTTGATGCAAGTTGAACAAAACATTTTGAGTTTTTGCAGTCATGTAAAATCCATTTATGCTTTTCTTTCCAGCTTTGTTGAAATTTTCTTCCTTTTTTTGATGGATAATGATGACTGTTTTGAACAAGAAGGTTAATTGAAAATCAAGCAATATTTAAAGAAGCTAACAAAATTCAAACACAACTTAAAATATTTGGTGTTGTTTTAGATCAAGTATTCAATTTTTTTTAGTTGAAGTTTTTATTAAAGAAAAGACTTTATCAGTGTAAAGGAAAAATAATAAAAATAATATCATAATGTTGATTAAATAAATAAAAAATTTTCTAGATGAAAAGTGATAGGTGTCACCTATAAGGATGCGTTGAGTTGTGTCTCATTTCTGAATAACCCTGAACTAAGTCTTTAGCGTGCAGCTTAGAAGTGATGTAATGATGCTATGATGCCTATTCATTATCTTGGATACAGAACCAATCCTTTGAGGGTAAAAATAAGTTTTGAATTCAAAATCAAAAAAGTTGATTTTCACAGATATATTCTAATCAGAATTTTTTTTTCCTTAGTAAAAATCTTATCAACAAAAGTGAAGATGGGCAGCAGAGTTCCTTTACAATCATTATTCTGCTTTTGTACCTGGTTTGTAACAGATTAATTAACAGATTAAATTAATGGATTGAGATGCATTTCCTACAAGGATGTTAAGCAATTAAATTATGTAGACATTATTGTTATTGGCCTATCATTAACCAGTTCAGAAAAAACTGTCTAAAGGATTTTGCAAATTTATTTTTAAACTTCAAACATGCCCTGATAGAAAAAATATTTTTCTCATTTGGTTTATCTGGTCAAAAGTGAGACATAAATTAGGAAATGAAAAGGCAAAAAAGTTGTGCAAATATAGACAGTATCAAAAATAGATAGTTGTTTATGTAAAAAAAAATGTCAACAATGTAATTATTTTTATCAAAGTTTTTATTTTTTTAATTAATTCTAAAAAATCTTATTCAATGAATCTTTTAATTTGTTTCCAAAATATTTTTTATTAAAATAATAGTGTTTAAATTAAAACTTTCTTTTTATAGCTACTGTAATATGCTTATGTTAGAAGAAGTTATAGTTCATAAAAATTTAAAATATTTCCTTAAGAGATTTTTTTACATGGCATGGCTGATTCATATATGATATTATTAAAAGTTAATCTATAAAAAACTATTGAAACTATAAAAAACTATTGTTTAACTAGCTGGTTTAATATAGCAAACACAGTTTTTTATATAAGTTGCTACAGAGAATCTTAGAATGTAGTTTCAATACTCATTCCACTTCTAACATTTATTTTTTATTTTTTTATTTTTACCATATGTAAAACTCTTTGCTTTAGGTTAACTTTACTTTGCTTACATTAACTCAAATTTTTTTGTTTTGACTTGTACTAGGTGTGAAACTCATTGCCAGTTCTAACATTCAAGTTGGTGATCTTATTCTTATTGAAAAGGTTGTTAAAATTTAATTTTTTTTTAATGCATAAAATGGTTAGTAAGGTGAAATTTGTTTTTACATAAAATGTTAAATTATATAAATTAATTGTTATTGATTTAATATACATTACATTTAACATTCAAGGTAACTATGACATTACAATTACATAATATATTTATTACATTGACATAATTTTTTTTTAACTTTTAGGCAATTTAATTTTTTTGTGTGGACTTTTTATCTTATATAAAATTAAGTAAATAATTAAGTTGTATAAACTCATTTTTAAACAATAAAAAATTTAAATAAATATCTATTAATCTTAATTATTAACTAATAAGAATTAATAATTTTTTATTATGCGCAGAATCAGAGAGTACCTGCAGATATGGTATTTTTACGAACAACTGATAAAACAGGTATACCTTGAATTTTATACATTTAATTACACAGATATGATAATCAATTTTGATTGTGAAAAATGCTTTAGTTTTAATTCAGTAGCTTTTAAAGATTAAAGTTACACCTCCGATAAAACTTTTATATATCTCTAATATATATATATATATATATATATATATATATATATATATATATATATATATATATATATATATATATATATATATATATCTGTGTGTGTGTTTTTAATATATATTATAGTCTTATATATATATATATATATATATATATATATATATATATATATATATATATATATATATATATATATATATATATATATGTATATATATATATATATATCTGTGTGTGTGTTTTTAATATATATTATAGTCTTATATATATATATATATATATATATATATATATATATATATATATATATATATATATATATATATATATATATATATATATTATATATTATAGTCATATATATATTATATATTAGTCACATATATATATATATATATATATATATACATATATATATATATATATATATATATATATATATATACATATATATATATATATATATATATATAAATATATATATATATATATATATGTATATATATATATATACATATATATATAATATATATATATATATATATATATATATATATATATATATATATATATATATATATATATATATATATATATATATATATATATATATATATATATATATATATATATATATATATATATATATATATATATATATATATATATATATATATATATATATATATATATATATATATATATATATATATATATATATATATAGGCCTCGGCGGGAAGAAATGAGTGCAAGATCAGTGAAAAGCTCTCCTAAAATGAACATGGCGAGCTATGTGATCTGCCCCTCTAAAAAGCTTCTTAGGAGAGCTTTTGGTTTTTGCGGGAGCTATCTGTTTATTCATTTTAAAAATTGCTTATTAATTACAAAATTTTGGTTTTATACTTGTTACAAGCCCAGGGCGCAACAAATTGTTTTTTTTTTTTCAATGAATGCTGACTTTCTTATCTTTATTTAACAATGAATGTCTAATTTAAGACATATATGTCATATAAGGAAGTTTAATTTCCAAATTATTTTTATTCTAGCTAATAAGTTATTAGATATAACAATAATGATTAATGAGTATAATTAATTTTTATTTCTTCAAAACAATTTTTTATGCATTTGCAAAGTGCGTACAAATTAATGATAATATGCAATGACCAAATGATTGTAATTTGTTATATGTTGATACTAAGTAATGAATTTCTCTCAATTTAGTTAGCTAAATTTATTTACAAATAAAAAAAACGTACAAATTTAAAGAAACTAAAATGAAAGGAGCTAAAAATAAAATAAAAATTGTTTTGACATTTTTTTTTTGAAACTTTTAAAAATCATATTTTATTAAGTTATATCATATTTAATAATAAGTTAATAAAAATATCATATTATTGACATTGCTTAACACTCAATAAAAATCAAAAACTATAATAAACATATTAATTATATATAAACTTAAAAAATGCGGTAGTGGTGTAGTGGTAGAGCACTCGTTTCATAGGTGAGAGGTTCCGAGTTTGATCCCCACCACGTCCCTCGCAGCACCACATGCAACTTGTTTCTCCGCGCAGTGGCCTTGTTTGTTAAGGTTCATGTTTCGGAGTTTTGTTTTTAGAGTTGAGAGAGGGTTATAACCACAATTAAGTAGTCTCCTCATCTGTAGTGCCCTTCTCGGCCTTGGGGAGGTGAATTAACAAAAAAATATATATTCTTTTCAAACATTTTAAAAGTGTTTTTAATGTGTATTACATATTACTTCACATTAAGAAAAATAAGAAAATTAAAAGTAAAAAGCATGCTAGAGAAAAAAAGCAATTGTTTGAATGTTTGAATGTTTGTTTTCTTTTAAAGTAATTGGAAATGCTTTTATTTTAAGTAAAATTTGCATGCTTTTGTTAATGCATGCAAAAACCATGCTAAAACATATTTACTATCTTTGATAGCATACTTAGTTTTACTTAAAGCTATTGAAAGAAATAATTGTGTTAGCATTTTTTTAAAAGTCTTTCAAATGTGTTTTAAATTTTAGTAACTAATTGTTTTTTTATTATAAATATGTTTTTCTTATGATAAATAAAAAACTATCAATCATATAATTATTTGGAAAAAAGTTGCTGAAGTAATGCGTGTTTTTAAAAATTTTAAGCAAACGTCAACGTTTGTAATATGCAAAAATATAGAAACGTGACAATCATTTCTTGGTCTATTTTTTTAACAAAAGTTTGCACTTTCGTAGATTTGTCACGTCATGTCAAGGATAGTGTCCCCTTAGTATCTACAAGTGTAATAAATAAAATATATATGTATCTTACATATAAAATAAATGCAAAAATATATATCAGTGAGGAACCCAAACATGTTTTAGTACATTTTTTACCAGTATGGGCGCTAGGGTGCATCAAATGCCCCATACTTACAAAATTTGATCTGTCCCTATTCTTAAAACCATCTGATGGTTCTCACGAGACACTAAATTTTTTCAAAATTGAATGAGATTTAGAGGGGCCACATTAAGTCTGAAGCTTGCAACGAGACCCTAAACAGAAGAAAAAAAAGTTTTACAAATGTATGTCATGTTAGGTCTCAAAAGAAGCGAAACATAAAAATTTCAAAAATAGTTATGATTTTTTGTTAAAAATACATTGAAAAAAAATTTTGACCAAAAACCATAAAAAAATGGCTTTTTTTTTATTTTTTGCTAAAAAATAATTTTTATGCAATAAAACTTATAATAATAAATATTATGTAAAATTTTTGTTTTTGAAATTTTTTTTATAAAATTTCACTTCTTTTGAGACCCAACATGACATACATTTGAAAAACTTTTTTTCTTCTGTTTAGGGTCTTGTCACAAGTTTCAGATTTGAGGTGGCCCCCCTAAATCTCATTCATTTTGAAAAAATTTAACAGAGTGTCTTGTGAGTACCAATTGAAAGTTTTAAAAATAAGGACAGATCAATTTTTGAAAGTATGGGACATTTGATGCACCCTAATAGGCGCCCAAAAATTATTTTTATTTTTAATTTTTCTTTTGATTTTATTTTATGGAAAATAGAAAAAAAAAATTAGTTTTAAATGCAGTAGTATATAAAAAATTCTCAGTTTAATTTAGCTACCTCAATTTTTTTTTTAGGAAAATAATTAAAAAGAAATTGCTTTTTTACATAACTATGCAATGTAATTTACCTTCGGTTATTAACTGGACGTAACTTTTAAAAAAATGAAAGTTGTTACAAAACTTAATTTTAAAACCACGTTGCAAAATTTTATAACAATGAATTGTATAAAAGATTTGCTTTTTTGATAGTTAAAACATTTTTAAATATCCATTCAGCGTAAGGTTAATTTTTGTTTTTGGCAATTAAGAGTACTCAATGCAACTAAGGCATAGAACAAACAGACTCGTAAAAAAAAAAGCTGATAATTTTAATCAAATCTGATTGGTTGTTAGTTCAATCCTAAGAACTTTATCTTTATCGGTATTTAATTTATAACAAATAATTAAACAAATAATTAATAATGGCAAAATATTATAAGTAACCGAAGCGTCTCTGATCGTTTTGCTGGAGATATGTCAATGTTATTACAAAGATATCTTGTAGCGTTTGTTTGACATGATTTGTGAACCTAATTACAATTTAATACATTTGTGTTGGTATATTTATGAACAATATGTTATTTTTAAAAGCAGCTGAAATAACTTATGCAATATATGTCATTCTGTGCTGTGCTAACAACAAAAAATATTTTGTTTTGATACATTACTGAAGCCATAATACCTATTTGTATCGACTTAGTATTCAAAGATTTAACTGTTTTTATAAAAAATAAGTTAAAAGTAACTTATGTTACTTTTAAGTTATTGTTATAAAAACAAAAGAAACCAATTGTCTATTATTTTCTTGAAAGAAACATAAACTTATGGAGGTACTAAAAATTTATGTCTATATTTTATAAGACTTTATTAACAATATTTTGATGCATGAGTTATGATTTCATTGTTCATTATTTATGCCATATAATTTTATTTATATAATATAGTATTTTCTTTCATCAAGTTATGCGCTAATCTCAACAAAAAGTAGCATAAAAGACAAGCTTTCTTTTTTCAACAAAATATATATATATATATATATATATATATATATATATATATATATATATATATATATATATATATATATATATATATATATATATATATATATACATATATATATATATAAACTATATGTATATATTACTAATAAATACTTTTAAAGTTAATATTTTTTAAATATTAACTGTGTTATTAAACAAATTTATTGCTGATATTTCCTTGTCTTTAAGATTAACTACATTTGTTTTTGATTTTGTTATGTTATTGGTGTTATTTGATAAATGAATTTCATTGAAAGAAGTTGCTACGGGTTGATATCTTTTAAAAACTGTCTTTATTGGTGAAGTGATTTCCTTAATAGGTTGAACATAAGGCTTGGTTGAAACATCAGATAAAAAGGGGAGTACTGGTTGCTTGGTCCATACTTAGGTTCTTTGATCTGATTATTTTTTGCATCTGAATTGAACTTTCTTTTTCTGGTTCCTCTGTTATTTGTGCAAAATGAATAAAAGAATCATTGGTGCTGGTTTGAATTTTTGGGTTTTTATTTTCTAAAACTATATATTTTTTTAAAGAGTTACAATTAACAACTTGAGTACCCTCGTTCGACTCAATCTTGATCTTTTGTGCAGGAATTTTAGTTTTGTTCGATAAACATTCATTCCAAATGTTCTTAAGATTGATATATTCAGACATTAATGTGGATGAGTGAAAATGATGTAGCTGCAATTTTGATGAAATATTACTTATTTTATCTTTAAATGTTATTCCATTTTTTG